CACAGCAGTGAATACCAAACCAGTGGGGAAGACGGTGCTTTGCCCACACCCTGCTGATCGGGACGGGACAGATAAAACAACAGAGAGCCCCATCTCCAAGCTGCACGCCCACTCGGAGGTGAGCGGACTCCGACTTCACAGCAGCAAAGACGGAGGGTCACGACGCCTCTGGGCAAGGGGGTCGGATCCTGCAGGCGCCCGCCGGCCACGGGAAAGCAGCCTCTAAAAGCAAGGGCTCCTCTGGAGACGGCAGAGCCCGTTTGGAGTGAAGCCCGAGGGCGGCGGGAAAAGCCATTTGCACTGCAGGCATCAACTCGCCAGCTACTCTCTTTGACAAATGAGGCGAGCATCACCTCTCCTGGTAATCGCCAGGTTAACAGGAAGCTACAGGAGCGAGTGTCACCGTCACCCCAGCCGCTCCCCTGCAGCTATAAATCACGGACAGAGGACTCCCAGCTCAGCAAAGGCCGCGGCAGGCAGGATCTTCCACCGGGACGATGGGGGTGCAGCCACGGGGCCAGAACCTCCAGACCCCTGTATGGGAAGCAAAGGGGATGCCTCAAATTCACTCACTGGCTGCCCTTTTGCTGCTGCTGGTAGAAAGAGCCGTGAAGCCACAGCCGACTTATGGCAGCCCCTAGTGGGGATTTCAAGGCAAGAGAGGTTCAGAGGTGGCTTGCCGTTGCCTGCCTCCGCGTTGCGAGTCGCGACCCCAGACTTCCTCGGTGGTCTCCCGTCCAAACGCTAACCGTCCCAACACTCCCATCCTAACACTAAAAGGGCTGTCAAAGAGAGAACATAAGAACAGAAGAGAAGCCAATGTTGGATCAGGCCAGTGGCCTATCCAGTCCAACACTCTGTGTCACCCAGTGGCCAGAAATACCAGGGGCCATCAGGAGGTCCACCCAGCAGTGGGGCCAGGACATTAGAAGCCCTCCCACTGTTGCCCCCCCCCCAAACACCAAGAAGACAGAGCATCACTTGCCCCAGAGCCCCTATCTGTACCCTGTGGCTAATAGCCACTGATGGACCTCTGCTCCATATGCTTATCTAATTCAGGTCAGACCAGGTTGAAATTAAATCAGAAGAGTTTTTGGCTGAACATTGGGAAGAACTTCCTGACAGTTAGAGCCGTTCCTCAGTGGGACAGGCTTCCTCGGGAGGTGGCGGGCTCTCCTTCTTTGGAGGTTTCCAAGCAGAGGCTAGATGGCCCCATCTGACAGCAATGCGGATTCCGTGAACTTGGGCAGACCATGAGAGGGAGGGCAGGAAGGGTTGCCTCAGTGCTTAGTTCTCGTGGCCCTTTCTTCCACGCCCAGGGAAATGCCTATCGCCCCGTTGGGGTCAGGAAGGAATTTTTCTCCAGGCCAGTTTGGTTGGGGATCCTGGAAGGTTTTTTTGTCATCTTCTAGAAGTGGAACAGGGGTCACTGGGGGTACGTATTTGTGAATTCCCTGCATTCTGCAGGGGGTTGGACTAGATGACCCTGGAGCTCCCTTCCGACTCTATGATTCTAACCGGGGCCAACCCTGCTTAGCTTCCGAGGCCAGACGAGACCAGGCGTGGCTGGGCCATCCAGGACAGGGCAAGAGACAAAGAGAGGTGGGTTTGCCATTGCCTGCCTCTGCATGACAACTATGGCCTTCCATTAAGGCCTCTCATCCAAGCACTAAATTGGGCTGGCCCAGTTTAGCCTCTGAGGTCTGATGAGATTGGGCTAGCCTGGGCCATCGAGGCCAGGGCCTTTTAGTGTAGTGGTTAGGAGTCAGTTTGGTGTAGTCAGGGGTCATTTCGTAGAAAAAGAGCTAGGGGAACTCATTAGCATACCTCATTAGCATATGCCACACCCCCTGACATCACCGGAAGTGTGTCATATGGCCACACACCCCGCCCCCAGCGGTTCAGCCAACCACACAGGGTGTCCCCCACCTCTCTAAGGGTGGGTACCCATTTACCTACTTGCAATTAGGTTGCTTTCGAGACCGCTGGGTAGGCGGGACTCTATGATTCTAACCGGGGCCAACCCTGCTTAGCTTCCAAGGCCAGACGAGACCAGGCGTGGCTGGGCCATCCAGGACAGGGCAAGAGACAAAGAGAGGTGGGTTTGCCATTGCCTGCCTCTGCGTGACAACTACGGTCTTCCATTAAGGCCTCTCATCCAAGCCCTAAATTGGGCTGGCCCAGTTTAGCCTCTGAGGTCTGATGAGATCGGGCTAGCCTGGGCCATCGAGGCCAGGGCCTTTTAGTGTAGTGGTTAGGAGTCAGTTCGGTGTACTGCTTAATGGGGTTTGATTCCCCACTCCTCCACATACAGCTGCTGGTGTGACCTTGGGTCAGTCACAGTTCTCTGAGAGCTGTTGTCTCAAGAGCTGTCCTCGAAAGAGCTCTCTCAGCCCCACCGAACTCACAGGGTGGCTGTTGTAGGGAAGGGAAAGGAGATTGTAAGCCACTCTGAGACTCCTTCAGGTAGTGAAGGGCGGGGTATAAATCCAATCTCCTCCTCCTCCTCCTCCTCCTCCTCCTCCTCCTCCTCTTCTTCTTGCCAGCACCAATTTATAATGGCTGAGTGATACATGTGTAAGCAACCTGATCAACAATTGGGAATAACTAGGCATCCCCCCCCCCCATTCAACATAATGCAGGGTTGTGTCCATGCTGAGAATTAAAGTTCTGCGCCCACTGTGTCCATGGTCCAAGGAAAGCGGAATTCTGCAAAAAATGCAAAATTCCACTTTAATTTGTTCTGTTCCTGCCCGCCAGTCCCACCTTCGGCCATGGGAAATCCAAGTTGTTGGTTCTGTCCTTTAAAGCCAGTTTGGTGTAGTGGTTAAGAGCGCAGACTCTAATCTGGGAGAACGGGGTTTGATTCCCCACTCCTCCACTTGCACCTGGCTGGATGACCTTGGGCAAGCCATAGTTCTGATAAGAGCTGTTCTTGAAAAAGAGCAGTTTCTGTCAAGAGCTCTCTCAGCCCCGCCTACCTCACAGGGTGCCTGTTGTGGGGAGGGGAAGGGAAAGGAGTTTGTCAGCCGCTCTGAGACTCCTTCAGGTAGTGAAGGGCAGGGTATAAATCCAATCTCCTCCTCCTCCTCTTCTTCTTTTTCCATGGCTTGGGACTGGCGTATCTGAAGGATCGTCTTCTCTCATGTGTTCCTGCCTGGGAATTTAGATCGCAGGGAAGCGCCCTCCTGACCGTCCCACCAATCACAGAGGCTCAGCTGGTGGGCCCGTGAGGGAGAGCCTTTTCGGTGGCAGCCCCGCAGTAATGGAACAACCTCCCCAGGGAGGTAGGCTTTGCCCCCCTCACTTTCGATCTCTAGGAAGCAGCTGGAGACAGTTTTATTTGGGATCACATCTGACTAATTTTAGCCTTTATCTGTTGACAGACCCGGAGAGGGAAGGCAGCACGGTGTAGCCCGATCTCGTCAGATCTCGGAAGCTCAGCAGGGTTGGTCCTTGGGAGGGAGACCACCCAGGAAGGCTCTGCGGAGGAAAGCAAGGGCAACCCCCCCCCTGCTTCTCACTTGCCTTGGAAGCCCCTTGCTGGGGTCACTGTCAGATGCGACTTGACTTAATGAGCAGTAATGTTGGGTATCAGTATATCTGGGGTTAAATGTTTGTTTCTGTTACTCACAGGAGGTCACATGTTTCTCATGTAACCAATGTTCTTTAGCTGTAGAAAGCCCGGGAATTTTCTCCCTGATCTAGGAATTTGATTGGGACTAAAGTGTCAAGGTGTATTAGCATTTTATGGCTTCTCTTCCCGTCTTTGTTTGGTGTTCTGAAGAAGAAGAAGAGCAGCCATACTCTCTCCTCTTCTAGTTTTGTCTCTGTAGAGTAAGGATGTAGCCGATTATGCTCTGTTGCTATTTTAATCCCAGTTACCCTTCCCATGCTAGAATTTAGTAAAAACTTTACATTTTAATCACACATGGACTCTCAGTCTGAATTATTTTACTCTGGCTCTGCTGGACTATTTTATCTCTGCTAAATACCATTTTTTCAATATCTCACTATCACCCAACAAGTAGGCTTAGAACAGATAAAAGGAAGTCCTTCTTCACCCAAAGAGTCATTAACACATGGAATTCACTGCCACAGGAGGTGGTGGTGGAATCGGGGGCAAGGGGTGCTCTGTCTTCTGGGTGCTTGGGGGGGGGGGTGTTCTGGCCCTGCTACTGGACCTTCTGATGGCAACTGCGTTTTGGCCACTGTGTGACACAGAGTGTTGGACTGGAGGGGCCATTGGACTGATCCAACATTGCTTCCCTTATGTCCTTATATGTGGGGCACTGATGCTCTGTATTCTGGGTGCTTGGGGGGCACAGCAGGAGGGCTTCTGGAGTTCTGGCCCCGCTGGTGGACCTCCTGATGGCCCCTGGGTTTTGGCCACTGTGCGACACAAGAGTGTTGGACTGGATGGGCCACTGGCCTGATCCATCATGGTTTCTCTTATGTTGTTATGTTCACTTGACGCACACACACATTGGAAGTCCTAATTGGAGATTTTAAACGGTAGTCTTTAGTGTGCTTTTTAATAACTGCTGTTTTATTTATATTGCCAGCTGCCTTGAGTCCGGCAAGGTAGAAAGGCAGCCGATAAATGCTTTGGACAAATAAATAATGACCCATCTCTCTGGCTCCCGAGTTTTCGGCAGGCACTGTCCGTGGACCCTTCCTGGCGTGGTGACGGCCGGCGGCCCGTCCTTGGGGTGTTCTTTCCCTTGCACCCTCAAGCATCGGCGAGGCGGCAGACAGCCGCAGGTGCTGTGAACGCGGGGGCCTGCTTATCGCGCTAAAATACCGATGCATTGGGTATTTTAGGAGGCGCGCTTTGCTCTCGTTACGGGGAGCGACCCTTCACGAGCCCGAAGAGCTTGTAGAGCAAAATCCCAAATGAACCCAATTTAAAATGCCGCGGCCCTTGGCTCTCCCTGGCAGCCCCCCCCCCCGGAACAGCTGCTTTCCTCGAGGAGGCGCCTGACCGAAGCCAAACTGACCTTGTCTTTCGAAACTTTGTGCGAAAACGGACACGTCCCGTCGGTCTTCTTGCAGGTGCCCCGGAGAAACCTGTCGAGACAACAAAAACGAGGGAGGTTAACAGAGAAGCTCGCAGAACCGGAAAAGGCTTAAC